AATTCCATAAATCCTTATAAAATATTTGAACTCAATAAAGATGGTCAAAATCATATTTTATCAAAATGTATGTGTTATAGCCAAAACAGTGGTTAAATTAAAATGGAAAAATAATATTGGAAAAATAATATTAGAAAAATAAAAGGGTCTCAAGTAATTAATTTAAAAGCTTCTGCCTTACAAACTATAGAAATAAGAGCAAAATAAGTGCAGAGAAGGAAATGATGAAGATATACATAAAGCACAATTAACTAAAAAACATAAAAGCAATAGAGTAAAATGAAGGAAATCCTCAGTTGGTTTTGACAAAAGATCATATGTTTGGCAAACTTTTACTAGACTGACCAAGAAAAAATACTGAAGATAAAAGACAATGAAAATTAGGAATGCAAGAGGAAGCATTACTACCAACATTACAATTATTAAATTACAAGAAAATATTTTATCAGCTTTACTCAATGATCTTTACAACACTAATGAAATGGATAAATTCTTAGGGTGAAATAATTACTGAAGTTAAGAAAAATGAGAAATGTTTGAAACATACTATCATGAGAAAAGAAATTGAATCAGTAATTTAAAACATTCCCACAAAAGAAAACCAGTATTAGATGGCTCACGGGTGAATTAAAACAAAGCAAAACATTGAAGGAAAAAAGTCAGCTTTCTCAGGAAATGAAAGAGAAATATCTTTCCGACTTATTCATGGTGACCAACAGACATCAAAGCCAGAAAAAAAAATCACAGGTTAACTGTAGATCTAGTTTCTTCATTTATTAAAAAAAAAAAAAACTTTCATAAAAAAGGATTATACATTGTACTAAAGTGCAAATTAAGGGATACTGCACAAAGTTGTTTTAACCTTAAATATCAATTAATGTATTATGAAATATTAATAAAAGGGCAAAAATTTGATCATTACAAAATACGTAGAAAAATAATTTAATAATCTAACATCAATTCATGATTTTTTAAAATGCTTAACAAACAAAGACAAAAAAATGTCTAAGCCTGATGTAGACAATCTATGAAAACTTTACAGAGCATATATGTAACAGTGCAAATGATATAATTTCCCCCTAATATTGGGCAGGTATATGGAAAAAAAATCTGCATAAACCATTTCTTTTCCAGTTGTAATGAAGGCTTTAGCCATTATAATCAGGCATAGAAAAAAAAAAGGCAACCCAGAAGGAAATAAGTAAAACTGACTATTCACAGAAGACATGATTATTCATGTAGAAAATCCTACGTAATCTACACAAAGAGAACAGTACAACAAGATCTAATCGTATAAGACTGATATGAAAATGAATTTCTATATACTAGCAATGGACAAAGAGAAGTTGATAGTGACATAAAAGATATAAAATACAAGTCAGGCAGAAGACACCGAATCACCCCGCTGCAGACAGGCGGGTCTGCCCATGCCCTACCGAGGTCCTGAGTTGCACAGAACACGCCTAATCAGCCCGCTGCACACAGGAAGGTCTGTGCATGCCCTGCTGAGGTCCTGAGGCACCCAGAAGACACCAAGTCACCCCTCTGCAGACAGACAGCCACCTGGTTCCATGCTACAAAGACGCAGAGGACACTAGACCACCAGACCAAGGTACTGAGTCCCGCCATTCTCGGCCAAGAGGGAGAGGCTTCTGAGCCTCCATCTCACTGCTCCTGGCCCAGAGGAAGAGGCTTCCTGGCCACCGTACCTCCCACTGCTCCCAGCCCGGAGGAAAGGGCTTTTGGGCCACCATCCCTACCGCTGCAGCCTGCCCCTGTCCCATCTCTCCCAGCTCAGAGGAGGCAATCCGTGCAGGTGCTAACAGCCCCCTGCCCCAGTTGAAATGAGAAAACACATAAATAAGTCTCAAAACCAGACTTCCAGATCACCTACAGCAACC